AGACTCAGGGTGGGGAACTTGAGAAGAATGGGGAGTATAGGCAGATGTTGGTGCAAGCAATTTACGCGTGTGCTGTTAAGTTTCCTGAGGTGGCGAGCACGGTTGTGCATCCTTTGATGGATTTCTTGGGCGATTCTAATGTGGCTTCAGCGCTGGACGTGGCAGTTTTTGTGCGTGAGATAATTGAAACCAACCCCAAGCTGCGTGTTTCTATAATAATGAGGCTGCTGGATACTTTCTACCAGATCCGCAATTCCAGGGTGTGTACTCATGCTCTATGGATTATTGGTGAGTATGCTCTCTCGCTTTCGGAGGTTGAGAGTGGGATTGCAACCATTAAGCAGTGTCTTGGGGAGCTTCCATTCTACACTGCTTCTGAGGAAAAGGAGGCACAAGATGCTTCAAAGAACTCTCAGGTGGTAAGCTCGAGCACCGTGTCTTCTAGGAGGCCTGTGATCCTTGCAGACGGGACCTATGCTACCCAATCTGCTGCACTGGAAACTGCTATCTCTGCACCTGTCCTTCAAGGATCTCTGACTTCTGTGGAGAACTTGAGATCATTGGTTCTCTCGGGCGATTTTTTCCTTGAGACAGTTGTGGCTTGCACATTAACAAAGCTTGTTTTAAGATTGGAAGAGATTCAGCCTTCAAAGGTTGAAGTGAACAAGGCAACCACACAGGCATTGTTGATCATGGTCTCTATGCTGCAACTGGGTCAATCCTCAGTCCTTCCACATCCGATTGATAATGACTCAAGATAGAATTGTCCTTTGCATCCGATTACTATGCCATAAAGGTGAAGAAGTAAGGAAGATATGGCTAGAGTCATGTAGACAGAGCTTTGTCAAAATGCTTGCCGATAAGCAGCTCCGGGAAACAGAGGAAAGTAAAGCTAAGGCCCAGATATTGAATGCACAACCTGATGACCTTATTGATTTCTACCATCTCAAGAGCAGAAAGGTAAGGCAGAATTATGCTTCTCACCTTTTGCACTCCGTGAAGTTAATACCCAATCAAGGAATTGATATTGTTTCTTTATGACTTTTTTTTCATGTTCCAACTTGCTTTAGATATTGAAGCTTAACATTTTTCTTGACTATTTAATGATAATTTAGCAGTTTATAAAATTGTGGAACAAACAACCTAGTGCAATTGCAATACAGTTTATAATGTTGAATTCAGATTGACCACCAAAACGATCATTTGTATCACATGCTTTTGGATGTTTTTCTTATATGCATATATTTTTCAGGGCATGAGCCAGCTTGAGTTGGAGGATGAGGTCCAATATGATCTCAAACGTGCTACTGGAGAGTTCACAAAGGATAATGATGATGCAAACAAGCTCAACCGCATTCTTCAGCTCACAGGATTCAGTGATCCTGTTTATGCTGAAGCATATGTTACAGTTAATCATTATGACATTGTTCTTGATGTTACTGTCATCAATCGAACAAAGGAAACCCTTCAGAATTTGTGCTTGGAGTTGGCCACTATGGGTGATCTCAAACTTGTTGAGCGTCCTCAAAACTACACACTAGCTCCGGAATCAAGCAAACAGATAAAGGCAAACATTAAGGTCTCTTCAACTGAAACAGGAGTTATATTTGGCAACATTGTATACGAGACTTCTTCAAATGTGCTTGAGAGAACAGTTATTGTCCTCAATGACATCCATATTGATATAATGGATTACATCTCTCCTGCATCATGTGCTGATGTAGCATTTAGGGCAATGTGGGCTGAGTTTGAGTGGGAGAACAAGGTACACTGATTTGATATGTTTTTGCATTATTTTCTGTGCTTCATTGATATGATCATTAGGTGCTTCTTCGAGAAATGGTTTCACAATTACTCTAAAGCATCTGATTTTTTTTAAACAATCATTTGATAGTTTATGGGTGGTCAGCTTTGGTGATTATTACTGCAACATGTGCTAGCACTGTTTTAGTTATCCTTATTTTTTGAATGGTAGTAGTATTGTCTTGAACCCATGCATTATGGGCAACTGGTCTGAGTTAAAATCTCTATACGACAGCCGTCTAGCCTCAGAATCACTTTTCTCGTTCTAGTAAATACATATTCTATTTTATGTTGTGTGGTTGTTGCACCACAAATGATGCAAATTTATTCATTTCTTTGTGCTTATATAATCACTGTTAGACATTTAGATTGTGCTTCTGAATCATTGTTGGGTTCATAAATGTGTTGCCCGTTTTATGAATGATAGTTCTCATGGATTTGTTTTTCATTCTCACATCAGAAAGCAATGTGCATCTTATATGTACTTATTTAGTTTTGTTCCTTGATATAGACGCACTTGGATTCTACCATGCATTAACACACTTGTGTTTCCCAGGTTGCCGTAAATACTATTATTCAAGACGAGAAGGAATTTCTGAACCATGTTGTAAAAGCGACTAACATGAAGTGCCTGACTCCACCGTAAGTTTTACACTATTAACTATGTTGTTTACTCTGTTAGACTGTTACATATGAAATTATTACATAATTAGATACACAGAATCATACATAGCCATGGTCTTATGCAAGCGTACGAAGCTTAACATATGCATATATAATTACACAACAATCATTTAAGAAGTTGAAGTTGGCTACTTTAGTTACATGTTGGTCATTTTTCAAGTGTGATACACACATGCATGTAACATGCATCCAAGAGTAGGAACAATTCCTCTAATTTCTTATGCATTCTTGCTGGATAATTGATGGTTTATTAATTCCTGATTATCCCTTACTAATTGGGCATTAGATCGGCACTGGAAGGAGAGTGTGGAGTCCTCGCTGCTAATTTGTATGCGAAGAGTGTTTTTGGGGAGGATGCTTTGGTGAATGTGAGTGTTGAGAAACAAGCAGATGGTAAGCTAAGTGGATACATCAGAATCAGAAGCAAGACTCAAGGCATTGCCCTCAGTCTTGGGGACAAAATCACCTTGAAACAGAAAGGCGGCCCTTGATCGAACATTAACCCTAATTTTGCAGCTGTTCTACCTTCTTCAACATTGTGAGTACGAGTCTGCTTATTGCAGCCGAGGCCTACCTCTATTCATCGTGCTCTTACGTTCATATTTTTCCTTAGGATCAAGTTTGTTATAGGAATTTTTGGTTTCTTATGTCATTGCCTTGGACGTTACAGTCTATCTCAATTCTTTTGATCAATGCCTTTCCCAGTAAGTGGATAGATAGGACATATTTTACTATCCACAATATATTCAAAGTAAATTTGTAGTGATGTCCACCTTACACATTTCTATTGTCAAATGTAATGTTTCATGTTTTAACTTTGTAATAGCTGTTGCTATCAGTCCACCAGTTTTTGTGCCAGCATTTTTCGCTCGTTGCGTTACTCTTTTCTCGTCCAAGTTTATTGACCCGTTGTGCTTTAGTTTTTGCATCAGTCTGATATTTCGGTGCTGGGAGTAGTTTAGTACTGGTTATGTGCATATTCACTCCCTTCTCATCAAGGATGACCTCTACGGCACTCACAGTGACGTTACGTGCCATACAAGTTTTTCGAGTCCGGTTCTTATAAGTGATTTACTCTTGTAAACAAGGTAATGCTATTAGGAAGTTGGAGTAATTCGATCAAGCTTAGTATTGGTTTGGTACTGAGTTGCTTTTATAAAAAGTTGGTATAAAAAAAAGTTAAACACTTAAAAACAGCTTATTTTCACAGTTTTGGGTAAAAAAAAAAAGCTGAAAATGTGAAGCGGTAAAAATGAGCTTATTCTTTATTCTCACAGCATAGCAGAAGCAGTTTTTTTTTCAAAGCACAGCAATACTAAACCTGCCCTTAATCTCAGAAATTGACACCTTATGGTGTCTTAAAAGCAAGCAAATTAGGCAACAGCCAGCATTCTGGTTACGCAAAAGAAGCAATTTACTCCAAGAAACGTATAATCCCAAAAACAAAAATAATAGTAAATAAACTTTCCATGAACCTTAATGTTAATTTTATTTTACAAACGAGATATGATATTATACTTAATTCATCTACATTCCAAGGAGGGTGGGATTCAAACTTTGAGTGCACAAGTTTAGAGAGCACACTGTTCTAACTAACTTGACCACCTTAACTGTCCTTACTATATTAGTGTTCTAACAAATTTTAGAGAATTAAAAAAAAAAATTAATTTATGGGCAAACAACTTTAAGTTCAACAGAATTTAGTAGCCAGTCAAAATCTGGTTAATTTTTTGTGTGTTAACTATATTATTTAATCAAAGGAGGAGAGAGTTGGCTTAACCTCACAATGAGCTAGTTGTAATGTTGAAATTCACCTTTGCGCGAGATTCGAATCTAAGACCTCTCACTTACAAGTAAAGAGGAATACCAATAGACGTTAGTACTAAGTGGTTGTTGTTAACACACACACACACACACACACACACATATATATATAAAGAGGAAGCATCACCATGTAGGGAGCACCCTAACATGGTTAAACATTCAAAATACCATAAATTGTCTTTAAAAACTCCAAAAGTTACATTAAATGAAATTAAAATTGTAATTCAAAACATTTTAATTTTAAATAATTTAAATTTAAAACTTTTTTTTAACAAACGATATTATCTACACTATGAGAATATGTTTAAAACTTTAGAAACAAAATAACAAAAACAAAACCCCCACATTAGTGGGTGGTTTACGGTTGACTTCTATTTTCGTTTTATATAAACAAAAATATAGAAATCAAAACAACTTAATTTTTAAAAATTTTAAAAATCTTAAAAATAACTTAATTTAACATACAAAGGTCAATTGTCACACACGTAAGCGTGTGACAAGAGCCTAGTATATGTTTGTGTGCGCATGTATAAAAAACAGTATATGTATATAAGTTATAAGTAGGTGGTTTGGGGGGCCTAACATGTTAATGTTTGTTTGTTTGCAAGTAATTGTAAACAATAAAGGAAATTCATGGCATGGTAGTTGAGGCTTCTTGTGGGCTGTTTATCCTTGCTGGTACAAGGTTGGTTTGAATCTGGTTACTCTCCTTAGTTTCATTTGGTACTGTTTGGTGGAAAGTTTTTTTTTTTTTCTATTCTTTTTCGACTAGTGTGGAAGAAACCACGACTCTATTTTTTACTGCACTCTTGTGAAAGCTCTTGGTGCACTATAAAAATGTCACACAAGTTTTGGTTCAGTAAAATAGGTTGGGGATTCTGAGATTGAAAAGTGCTTTTTTTCGGAAAATGGCTGATGATGAAAGTTTTGAGAATCTAAAAGCTGCCCGGAAATTGTTGAAGGCTAGTATGGAGCAGTCTTCAGCTCTTTCGTCGGCGATTGATGAAGTTGGGTTGAAAGTGGAACGCATGAAGGAGAGGTTGCCATCTTTGGAAGCGGCAATTAGGCCCGTTGGGACGCGAAAGTGTGGATTATTTGCAATGAGGGACCAAATCAATGGTGCCATTGGCCCTGCTGCTGCTGTTCTCAAAGTGTATGATGTCGTTCGGGAGCTAGAGAATTCGCTGTCTTTCGAATCATGTTCTGATCTCCACGCTTATCTTTCGACCATGAAAAGGCTTGAAGGGGCATTGAGGTTTCTTGCTGGCAGCTGTGGGCTGGCCATTCCGTGGCTGCATGACATTGTTGAGTTTTTGGAAGCCGACGCATTTGCCAATGATCAAAGCCTCTTGAATGTGAAGAAAGCTCTGAGAATTCTACGGGTGTTGCGCGCAATCGAGGGTTGTGCTCGCCTTGATGGAGGGGTTCTCAATGCTGCGTTCAACAAGCTGGAAACCGAATTTGTAAGCTTATTAATGGAGAACAATGCTACAGCCTGCATTGCTTCATCGCCATTACCAGTGCCGGTAATTCAAAAGCTTCAAGCCATAGTTGAGAGACTGAATGCTGCTGATCGGCTTGAAAAGTGCGTATTGCTGTACGCTGGCGTGCGGAGTTTGAATGCTAGGAGAAGCTTGCAGGCTCTCGATCTCAACTACCTTGAGATACAAGTCTCTGAGTTTGATGATATGCAGAGCATCGACTCTTACATTGAGCAATGGGGCGAGCATTTGGAGTTGGTTGTGAAGCATTTTCTCGAGTTTGAGTACAAACTCTGCAACAGTGTCTTTGAGAAGACAGAATCAGATGCTTGGAAGCGCTGCATTGCGAGATTCGCTGAAGAGTTTAGGCTTGTTTCTCTCCTCCAATTTGGCAGGAGTGTCACCAAGATAAAGAAGGGCCCGGTCAAGCTCTTGAAGCTACTAGATGTATTCGCGGTTTTAGAAAATCTAAGGGTCAATTTTAACCGGATTTTCGGAGGGGAGGCCTGTGGTGAGATTCAGAACCTCACAAGGGATCTGATCAAGGAGGTTGTCAATGGGGCTTGTGAGATTTTCTGGGAACTTCCTAGTCAAGTGAAGTTGCAAGGGCGGTTTTCTCCTCCATCGGATGGTGGCATTCCCGGGCTAGTAACCTTTATAACTAATTTCTACAATCAACTTCTAGGGGAAGACTACAAGCCAATCTTGATCCAGGTCTTGCAGATCCATCAAAGCTGGAAAACCGATATACACGAAGATGAAGATGATGATCTTCTTTTGATACAAATTTTTAGCACGATGAAGGAAATCGGCCTAAATTTGGATACGTGGTCGAAGACCTACGAAGACATCTCCCTCTCCTACCTTTTCATGATGAACAATCACTGCCATTTCAGCCAATTGAAGGGCACAAAGCTTGGGGAAATAATGGGAAACTCTTGGTTAGGAGGACATGAGCAATACAAGGACTACTACGCAGCTCTCTACTTGAGAGAGAGTTGGGGAAAGCTTCTGATTCTCCTAACCCAAAAGGGTTGGATATCGCCCCCTGTCGGGGGAGCAACGGATTATCATCAGGGCTCCGACGATAAGAAAAGGCTCAAGGCATTCAACGAGGCATTCGACGAGAGGTACAAGAAGCACTCGAATTGGATCATTTCGGACGATTGCTTGAGGCAGAAGGTATGCCAACTTTTGGTGCAGGCAGTTGTACCTGTTTATAAAAGTTACATGCAGAAGTATGGAGTTTTGTTGCAACAAGATGCAAGTGCTAGGAAGTATGTCAAACACACTACACAAAGCTTGGAGAAGATGCTGAGCTCACTCTTTCAGCCCCAGCGTAGCAAGTACTGCAGTACCAAACATATTCGCTTTATCGGCAAGCTGAAAAACGTCGTCACCAATCAGTTTCGTGTTACGCTGACCGCAATGTGAGTTCATAGGGTAATGCTAGAGGGTCACATTTCTAGAGTTTTGGTAATTTCCTTGTACAGATCTACACGTAAAATTAATTAACATGTATTGGTTTAAATTATTATTCTCGGATTTCCTATCAACTTCTTCATTCGTATTGATGTTCTTGATTCGGAAACTTCTCCTTGTAGCTACATGTTTTCGTCGCGTTAAAAAAAAGGTTTGTGCCGATTGATTTTCACCTGCACTTCAATGAAAAGAATTTCGAGCAGGATGGCATAAAACATAAATCGATTGATGACGAGGACATCTGGAAGTAGATTTTTTTTCGGTTTAGATTCCGGCTAAAGATGGTTAGTACTGCAGTTATGTTTGTTACTGAATTATCAGTCCAAAGTCCAAACCGTAACATTAGAAATGGTGAGGAACCTTTCGACATCACATTCTAAGTTGACTTCAACCCAATAATTCCGAAGTACAACGAGCACCTGCAATTACAGCTAAATTCTGTCAATGCGATGAACAAAAGTTTACATTCTCGTGGCAAAATCACCAATCTGATATTCCGTAATTTTACCTGCGGAGTGATTGCAGACGTGAAACTGTCAAATCACTCTTTACAAACCAACAGAAGTGCACTTTCAGGCTATGCTGCTGCGAAAACTATTTATATCCTAAAAGAGTTTCTATAATCTTCAAGAGGAACAACACGGATGCTATGTGTGGAATTCGAACGGAGGTTACCCAGCTGATTCCGCCCAGAAAACAAAATAGAAAACAGCCTTCAAAAGTTTAGAAGTAGATTTCATAGATCAACCTAATCTCCTCATAACTCGCGGATCCTCAGTATGGTATTAGTTAGGATTTATTTAGTTCGGTCAACTATACGCCATTGCAACGCTGATTCTAAGAATTAAGCACCTGCAGTTGCAGCGGGCTCTGTTGATGAAGCATTCCCTTCTTTGTCTGAATCAGAAAGATGTTTGGGGGCTGCTGCTGATGGATCAGTGCTAGGCTCTCTCCGCCACTGTAGACTAGAGCTCCCAAAATGTGGTGTTTTGGGGATAGCGTTTTTGTTGCCATGGGGTACATGTGCGTGGAAAGTCTTTGCAGAAATCTGGTTTGGGGCTGATGCTGCAGAAGCTGCTTCTCGTATCCTTAGAACCTATACAAAATGTATACAAGTCAAAAGTTAGAAAACAAAGGCCAAATTTAAATTCTAGTCCCTAGAATATGTCAGTCTCCAAAGGTGAATCTCAAATTTACAATACTTGTGTGTGTTTGTGAAATATGAGAGACGCACATAGAAACTTGTACAGCCCAACAAGCTCAATAGTATCAAACTATTCAATTTATAATATTTTTCCCAACTTGGTTCGTCTTCAGTCTTGGAAGGAAAATAAGGGCAATTATGTAGCATTTTCAACATGCATCCACTGCCTAATGAACATGGTAAAAGGTATAACAATAGAGTATCAGGTTTGTTACACTCAACCAAGTCAATCTCCATACGGCCTACCCTCGCCCCTTTCATTTTGTTCTTTCTTTCAATCTGTTTCGTTTTTTTTTTTGTTTGTTTTTTGTTTAACACTTTTTGTTTGCTCACCTTCACTATTCTTGAATAAAACGTTGTCCCACTCAATGCCAAGGCTTTGTCAACAGATTCCTTGCTATCAAAGGTAACATAAGCAGACCTAAGAACAGAAATGTGAGAAACCGGTCCCGGACCCAAGATGAAACATACAAACAGAAATTGTACTCCTTAGATCATAATAGAGCAGATGACGAAATAAGCATTACCCTTGTGGTTTAGCAGTTACTACGTCTGTCAGAATCACCACATTGAAAACCCCTCCACACTTGGCAAAGAATGATGACAAAGCTTCTCTAGTTGCTGAAAAATGTACCTGTTTTTTTTTTTTTTTTTTCAAGCAGTACATGGTATGCTTATGAGATATTTTACATAAATGCAGAATTGCAGATACAACAATTAAATTAATAAAAATAAGGAGGAATAATAGCAATCTCCATGGAAATTAACCACAAACAATTTGCACTTTATTTTAAAGAATGTGCTTACAAGTTACAATCCTCAGGTACTAGTTAGCTTAACTAAGAGGTGAACAGAAAGCAAGCCTAAATTACTAGATGTGAAAGAATACTGCCTCCAAATACCAATGTCAGTTAAAATACAGACTTGAAATTTGTAACAACATTCGCAAAGATGACCTAACAATGTGTGTAATTAAAAATAACTTTAAGAAATATCATTATGTATCACTACAGCTAATTGTTATCATCTGGTAAACAAAAGCTCTACAGTCTACGCTCTCAACAAGAGTCTGTTTCTATAACCATCTCAAAGGATTTCCACAGCGGCACACTCCTCTGGTTTCCATCTATTTATTATCAACTGTTTACCTAGAATTTCAATCCACTAAATACTTTCCCTTAGTGATTTCGTGTTCGCAAAGTCAGCCACTTCTCATCACACTACTGTGAATAATATTTCACTAATAGAGTGAATAAAAGAAGGAATATTATACAGAAAGATCTTACATTTGTCACCAATACAGTCCTTGACTCAATCTCAGTGTTGTTCTCCAAATCCTTTCGTATATCTGTAAATGCTTGCATTAGAACACATCCACCCAAAACCACCTTCCCCCACCCCCTACATTTGTGCACACAGACATTTGTTTCTAGCTCTGACCAAAATTCAAAGCATTTATAAGTTGAAACAAATTTCATACTTCAGAAAATTGGTCCAAGTTATCTAGAGGCTTTACCAGATTTTGACAAATGATCGACTTTCACCACCTGCTTTGATTGAAGCTTTGACATTTCCATTTCAATTTGATGCAATCTTTCTTTTACCTCAAGCACTTCCTGGGAGAAAATCAGTCAAGGAGGGAAAACTAAGTTGATTCTTAAAATTACCAGACTTGAGGTTAGCGCTAGCTTTATTTTATAATTAACTATGATCTAACAGGAAAAGGACATACTGATGCCAGTTTCTGAGTAGTCCTCGAACCATTTTTGGTCAAGTTTGGCTTCTTGAAATTCTGTGAGATATCTTTGTACTGAGGATCCATGTTTCTCTCATGCACCAAAGAAGCTGAACCAGTGCCAGGGCCTGCCCTGATTTCGCCAAAGAGCCTCTTACGTCCAATATTGTTTGCACTATGAGGTTCACCCATTGCACTACCACCACGGTTCAGTTTCCTTGTCTCAACAGGGTGACTATAAGACCTCGTCCCAAGAGCAGGAACTTCAAGATTTCTCTTCAGAGGCATTAATGGGGGCTGGTTATGGACTCCTCCATCTTGTGTCATATGGCCAACACCATAAAAATGAACATTCTTGTGCCCTACAAATATGTCCTCACATGGCTTGCCCAATCTATCCCAAACACTACCCCGAGGTTTTTTACTATGCACAAACCCTGTACCTATTAATCTTGGTGACAGACTGCTTTCTAATGGGTTACTGCCACAGATCTCTTTAGGACAAGGACGCCCTGCAGGAAGAAAGCATAAAAAGAGTCCTCATTATTGATCCATGAGCAAACTAAATTTGTACGTCTGTAGAAAGGCAGCTAAAACAAATCAGTTTCACACATACAATCACATACAGGCACGTAATTATATATTTACATTTACAATTTTCTCAAGCATGCATTGAGGTAATCAAACATAGTACCTGATATGACATATTGCGTAACCTTAGACTCTGCCTCTCTTTTCGGCAAATGTAAGAGCTCCTTAGGCAACTCACTTGATTCATGCTTGAGAATCTGCTCTACAATAAGACAATTCTGAACTTACAAAAAGAAAAATGTGTTTAAAAATCACTGTCAGCTGCTGTATTAAACTGTTTAATAGGCCAACCTGGTTAATTTTATTTATACACCGAGTTCTTCTAACTAGCTCACAATTGATATTATCAGTTGCAATAGGTCTTTTCAGAATTTCATTTCTGCATGTCCGTGACAATGTTTTCTTGGTATTCACCTCACTGAAAGGGACAGATTGAAAACCTTTAGCAAGTTTCACATCCTCACAAGAAACAGGATCACATGTTGACATATGGTAGGCCTTATCATCTTTCATCTGCCACGGGAAAGTTATATTACAAACTCCTCCTAACGCTCTATTATACATAAAGAAATAAATTCGGATAACTCATATTACCAAAAGTTCATCAGCATGTCTAGTAGAATGATTCTGGAATTCTGCACATCTGTCTGTGCTTGCACCCTTGCATCTCTTACTCTCTTGGCAACTAACAGTAGCAACTTCATCTGCATTCAATAAGCCAGTGTCTGCAGAAGATTGACCAGCATATGCCAACATAAGATTCCATAACCTAAATTGGCAGCGCAAAGGGATTAGCATCGACTATTCAAAACTGAGTTAGCATGTAAAGAAGAAAATTGTAGCTAATCAAGAGAGTTTGATAGTCAGGGTACCAGGATACAAAATCTACAGTCACGTCGCCAAGAAACGCCTCTAAATCCTCTTTTGCCTGATATTGATGCTTTCCATTACAAACCAGCACTGTTATATATTCCTAAAGCAATGAACATATTACTTTCAGTAAAATTTGGAGTAAATTCAACCATGAAGCTGTGAAAACTTGTTAATGAGAACAGGGCAAATCACGAATGTGCGTTCAATGTAAAATTTCAAACACAAGATTAACAATAAAAAGAAACAAATAAAGAAGTTAAAAGCACCTTGTCAACAATTACTGAAATTAAATACTATTCAGTGTTGGATAACATTCCCGAATCCTTCGATTATAAGGCCACTCTTTTCTAGTTGTCCACTCAAATGCTTTCGATTATGGAAGATGTTAAGTAAGCTCTAGCCTCTTGCTCTATCTGATATTACACATTGATAAAGTCTATAGAGACGCGCATGCAACTCCGAGACTATATCTTAAAAACCGCGCATTAATTAGCAAGCAAACAACGAAATCATCGCGAAATGTAGCATGGATTGCTAATTTCATTGCCAACATTTTCTCAGCAACCAAACATACAGTTATTATTATGTTGATTAAGCAGCATACGAAACTTTCACTCTTATTCCACCAAAAGCAAAAGCATCACGAAACATAGCGTAGCGTTAATTTCTCTGCCTACATTTTCTCAGCATCCAAACAACTAGTTACGAAAGAGAATCGCTCGTACATTTTCCCAAAAAAATCAATTTCTATCGTTGATTAGACTCGAAAAATGGAAATAAACAAAGGAAAATCCGAAATCGGAGGAATTGGAAAGGATGAAAAAAATTACAGCGAGGACGTCGTCTGTGTACTCGGAGAGAAATTGAGGAAGCTTGACGGCAATGGAGGATTTGAGCTTCCGAGCGAAAGGCGATTTCCTGTGGAGCTTGAAGGTCTTAGGGTTCGCCGAGAAAATATCCATCGGAGATTGTCGTAGTTTCATTAGGATCGCTCTCGCTCGCTCTGATCAATAGTTTTGACAGCCCATATACCACTCGAGTAAGAAGGAGCCACTGAAGCTTATTATACGAGCATTCCCAACATTTTGAAACGTCAAAACAATTTTTGTTTTGGATTTTTAATTTAATTTTTAATTTTTATTTGTTTGAAAATTGATTTACAAAAATAAAATTAAAAACGAAACGGTCATCCAACGTTACTTTACTGTTTTGTTTTTAATAGGTTCATAGTTATGTTATCTTCACTATCACTGAATCACAAAAAAAAAAAAATTATTATACACTCCAAACTGGATAAGTGCAGGTTGAAAATTAAAGTACCATTACGGCCCTACCCCGATAACCATACCGAAAAATTCCCCAAGCGCATCTCCATCATAGCTTGTTATCCCTCATACCCAACTCATTAATGACAAAACTCCACAAAACCACACCAGGATGCATAGGCATAGTTCTACAATCTTATTGCAGAATTGAACTTTCTTGTCGACACCTCTAATTCAGTGAACAAGGAAAAAGTTAACTCAAGAATTAAACTTGATTTTCTTAATTCCTTTCTCCCTTCATACACATTTCCTTTCGAGTTAACTATGTTTTATACCATTCAGGTTTGCGGTGATTTTCAAACTAGTCTATAAGGTTCTAATTTTCTCACATTGCACTATGAGGTTTTGAAATTGTGCCATTTTACATATTTTATCTCTTTGAACATCTAAAATTCTATTAAATTGATGAGTTGTCTGTGTCAATATGAGGTAAATGTGACTTACACATAGCCCATATAATGATTTCAAACTCATCATGTCATCAATTTATTGATGGATTAAACAATCAATTTGACCAAAGACATACATTTCATTTCATTTCATTTCATTTCATACAACCGTTAAATTTTTTGTTAAGTTAAGTGATAACGTGATAACAGTTAGTTCCACATTTTTGCTGATGTGGCCGACAACTTTTGCCACATGGCCAAACAACTAAAAAAATATTTAATTAATAAAAAATAATTTTGTTGTATAATTAAAAACTTGAAAAATAGAAATTAAAAAAATCCCTAAAACCTCCCCACATTTGTCCATGTGGCACAAATTGGCAGCCATGTCAGCACAAATGCGGAACTCATTGTTACCACATCATCACTTAACGGCGGCTAACTTAACATAATTTTTAACGGTTGCATGAAATTGAAATAAAATGATACCTAATGTATGAGATTGAAATATTTTAAAGATGTTATATAAGATAGCAATTGCACCTAAACCTAAAGGGGTAAAATATAATTAGCCCTTTATTTTATTTTTGTTACATTGCAGGGGATCAAACGCCTCTGAACTTATTGTAATTATATTTATACTGCCCCACCACATTACCATCACCCTAACCACGATTATGTATAGGGTTTGGTCCTCCTGGTGTCTGTATAAGAGAAAAATCCAATTCTACTTTGGGATAATGCAAAAGACGTTTATCGCCCGATAAGGGGTGTCGTTTGTGCACGGCTTGGTCCTGGTAGTGCAGCTGATGCTCAGCACCACCGCCGCCATTACCACCACCCTGACCACCATGATGTATAGGGTTTGGTCCCCCTGGTGTCTGTCTAAGAGAAGAACCCAATTTCACCTTGGGATAATGCAAAAGACGTTTATCGCCCGATACGACATGTTGTTTGTGGATGGATTGGTCCTGGTGGTGCAATTGGTGCTCTTCGACTACACTCCGTCCATAGCAACCTGTAGATAATACCCAAATAATGCGTTACGAAGATGACCAGCATGAGCATCAAATCAATGTGTAGGACATTACAGTAATTACAATGAAGCTGGGGGTGGGGGTGGGGGTGGGTGGGTAATTAACAAAAAATTGATATGGTCAATATATATACCTGATGAGCTTAGAAGAATTAAAGCAATGCAAAAAAGACATCCAAAGTTGATGGAAGCCATACTGTAAAGGGCAGAACCAGAAAATTCTCAATGGTATATGAAATGATGAATCACCAAAGAGAATGTCTGTATTTATATTTACACTTATAGTTCGCTACCAAATCCTAGCATCAAATTGAAATAGAATTCAATAAAATATGTTTCTTTTAATTGCTGTTTGTTGTCCCTTCGGGTACATCTGATAAAATTAGAACGACACAAGGAATTGCTGATTTGTTACTTATTATATAAGTTTATAATCTCCTAAATATGCTTAGTTGGGTGCTAAATCCTAGCACCAAATTGAAATATAAATCAATAAAATAAGTTTCTTTTAATTGTTGATTTGTTGCTAATAGTAAAAGTTTTTTTCTCAATACAATAATATGACATTGAGAAAATAGGATCACAGTCATTTGCATTTTTCATTTCTAGAAAATTTAGCAAATTTGCAAATCAACTCATTTTTTTTCTTCTCATTTTACTCAAATAATACAATAAAATCTCTCTAAAGTTATAAATTTGGGTCTAAATTAACCAATTTTATAACTTTAGGAAGGTTATTAATTACTTACCAGTGGTGTAGTTAAAAATATTATTTATTGACATTTATAATGAATGTTGTATTTCCTAAATAGGATTTTTTGGGCGCCAAATATTTTATGTCTTGTAAATCTTTGTGCTCACTGACAATTATAACTACCTGAAGACATGTTTCCTTAAAATGAGACCCAAAAAAAGTCAATATGGTGTCTATTCCAATACATAACTGGTCCTAGCTCTCAAGTTGGGATCAATATTTTTTATGATTTTAAGAGTTTTTAGTGTATCCTATATTTTAAAGGCTTTTTAGCCAAAATGATCCATGAGATTTGGATAACACATCACTTTGGTCTCTGAGATTGTCCACCATCCATTATTTTGGTCATTCCATTAAAAACTCCATTAAGTGTCCCGAAGCTTTTGGTTGAAAGTTTGGGCAATTTTCAATGCTTCGTAACTCAATCGTTTCTTAACTAAATTCGACCCATAATATATTAAAATGAAGATAGAAAAATGTAGAACAAGATTATACCTATTTGGAAGCTCAATGGTTCTTGGAGATGGCCGTAAAATAGCCTTAAACGTGATTGGTCCGTGGGAAAACTGGAAAACTCGCCGGAAACTGGGTAAACTTTAAACGTTCATAACTTCTTCAATACTCAACAAAATCTAATGATTCAGAAAAGAAAATCATACTTATCAACGAGATGAAGAGAATGGTACCTTTTTTTTGTTTTTATGGCTAACTCGCCATGGTTTGTTCGGAAAACGGCTTAAAAGTGGCTATTTTGGTCTCGAGTTAGCCACTTTCGAGCATTTTTCCGGCCAAACCACAGCTAATTAGCCATTTAGAAAGATACCATTCTCTTCGTCTCATTGAGAAGTATGATTTTAGTTTTGAATCACTCGATTTCATTGCGTATTGAAGAAGTTATGAACGTTTAAAATTTACCCTATTTCCGGCAAATTTTCCAGTTTTTCCGCCGACCAGTCACCTTTCAGGCTATTTTTCGATCATCTATGGCAATCATTGGGCTTCCAAATAGGTATAATATTGTTCTACACTTTCCTATCATCATTTTGATATAATATGGGTCGAATTTGGTTAAGAAACAATTGAGTTACGAAGCTTGAAAATTGCCTAAACTTTCGGCTAGGAGTTCTGAGACACTTAATGGAAAGGACCAAAATAATGGATGGTGGACAATCTCAGGGACCAAATTGATGTGTTATACAAATCTCATGGACCATTTTGGCTAAAAAGCCTATTTTAAATTGGGGTTAATCTTTGTTTACTATCCTGAAGTTTCGTAGTTTTCAACATTTGGTACATGAAGTTTTTTTCATCCCAGAGTCATACCTTAAGTCTTAATTTTAGGACAGTTTCATATATCTGTTAAGTTTTCCGTTAGAATTTCAGTTAACTGATGATGTGGCGCCCACGTGGACAATAATTGAGCGCCACATGTCAATATGAGTCTATTTCAATATTAAAAAATAAAAAAAAACCCACCCTCCCTCTTCCCCGATCCCTCCCCTCCCTCTTCTCTTTCTGCTCAGCTGCTCAGATCACTCCATCTACTATCTGCTTCTGCGACTCCATTATCATCTGATTTTGCTTCATCTCCATCTTCATTCTCATCTTCTCCATCTCCTTTGCCATCTCCATCTTCCTCTTTTCCATCTTCACAAATACTTCTCCCAAAAACTCTATCGAACATGTCATCGCTTCAATCGGATCATCCACCCCTTTCCTGACTGAACTCCCACCCAAATCTTCTAAACCAACACCATTAGAATGCAAACCCTCTCGAAATTTTTGATTAAACCCACTTCTTGAACCAACTCCATTGCTACCACCAGGCTTTGAGATAAGCTTGGGATTAAACTTCTCGCTACTATTACCATAACCCTTGCTCCTGAAACTTTCATAATTTCTGACCCAAAACCCACCTCCATATTGAACTCCGATGCGGATATCCGGATCTGGGTTGGACCCGAAAGCCAAAGGAGAGTCGCATTCCAAGTCGATCATGGGTTGAAACAGATCTTAGGAAGAGAAAAACGGAACCGGACCCAGGTGGCAGAGTCGGCGGTGGTATTGTGTGGGCGAGGACCAATGCGGAGCTGGATATTGATGGGCCGTCGAGCCCTAGCAGTAGTGGGTATGTTGGCGACCACATTATGGAAATTCTGGGGACTCGGGTTCTGTTGTTCTTAGATATGGTGGGGGAGAGGGATGAGGTGGGTCAAAGAGGTGAAGAGGGAGGAGTGGGAGGGATCAGGAAAGAGAAAAGGGAGGGATCGGGAATGGAAACGAGAAGAGGGAGGGAAGCCGCCCTACGAGCCCATCACAAGCTCCCGGCCAATGGTGTTGAGCTGCTCCATTGCTGATTGAGGGTTTGAATGTTAGGGTTTTGGATGGAGAATTGGGGGTATGAATTTGGGGGAATTAATTAGTGAATTTCCATTGCATGAAGAAATAGAGGGAGAGGTGCTCGGGTGGAGAAGACAAAGGGGGTGGAGGGGTGCTCGGGTGGAGGGAGGTGGGGATTCTGGGGAGAAAGGAAGAAGAAGAAGAAGAAGAAGAAGAGAGAGAGAAAAAAAAATCCATGTCACCTCTGAAGAGAAGAAAGAAAGAAAGAAAAAAAATATTCCACGTGGACCCCTTAATGGTACGTGGTGCCCAGTCAGTGTCCACATGGACACCACGTCATCACTTAACATGAGACTTAACAATTTGACTAACGGATGTATGAGATTGTCCCAAAATTTACACTTTAGGTATGACTCTGGAATGAAAAAAACTTGATGTACTAAATGTTGAAAACCACGAAACTTCAGGGTAATAAACAGAGTTTAACCCTTTAAATTGTTTTCCTGTAATGAAACCTTTGATGAAACATGCAGGCTTATATCTAGTAATTGTCAGATTAATTCTCGTCCGAAATAAGAACAAATAGACACTTTGATCGGTTGGCCTAACTATACTTGATAGAAGATGTCTTAAGTTAGACTCACATAGATGTGAAAAAATAACATATATATATATATATATATATATATATATATATATATATATATTCAGAGTCATATACTATACTAAGTTGTGGTTTGTTGTACCATCTTGATATAACTAGTTCACGTCAACTGATAAGCTATGATTTTTATTCAGGCATCTGGGTGCAACCTTGCAACTGCCCCCAATATTTTGAGGCAATACTTGTTGCAGTTGGAGAACTGTGCGCAATGACTATGTATGGTCCCACCAAAAACTAACCGTTCTTTCTGCTGCATGACCTGCACATTTAATATATAAATGAAGAAGTAATTAGATTCAACCCCTCAAATTCTACATTTTAATTAAATACGGTTGGCTTTTAATTTTTTTATTAAAACGTTCTAAAATTAATCCATGTTCTTTTCTTAATTTCCGACTCAATATTTTATATAAATTTAAACAAAATAAAAGTTGTATCATTATTAAAGCTGAGATCTAGAGTCCATAAATTAATGTGAATTGTTTTCTAAGACTTGATTTTTTTTAATTTTTTTTTTTAGAAACACACGCGAACTAAATCCATTTTATAGAAAAAGATCTAGTCCTTCTCCTGTTTTTTCTTAAAATAAATGAGTCATTATTTCAGTAATTAATATATTAAAATTTGATAGAATATATTACCATCAAGTTTCTTTATTTCTTCCATCTCCTCTATAAAAGTCACAACATCATATCCTTTAGCCGCTTTCCAAAAGTTACTTCGAAGAAGTAACCCAGAGTTATTTTTTTTTCTATTATTTCTATAAATGTGTTTACAACAATGTCTATGTGGAGAGTGTGGAAATATGTTTACAACCGCTTCAATAACACCCTTGGAATATAACACAACTTTGTCAGCAAAATTTCTTTAGTTGAAGTTAGTAAGAAAAAAAAGCAAAATAAGAATAAGAATATCACTTTTTTGTCTATCCATGTCCATGGAATGTTGTCTGAGTTGTAACTACCCATCATTATTTTCAAGTGAATTATGAAGAATGTCTAGCATCATAGCACTCTAATGCAACAACTACCATAGCTATGGGAAACACCACAAAACTACTATCTAAACTAACTTACGTTAATAATCGCCTCCAAAAGGCCATTTCAAGAAGCACCCATTATGGGACCATTATTTTCTAGGGCTGAAGTAAGGTTGATCGGAATATAGATACCTCAGAAGCCAAGTTAGCGACTCAAGATCTCTGAGCGGAGCTGGATCAAACGGAGCAGTGGTGCCACCATCACTTTGTTCTAGATGTTCTAGGGCAATAAGACCCAAACAAACGGAGTAGTGGTGCCATCACCACTTCGTTGGTATGACCATCCTTGTTCTGCAAGACACGGGATTTGATTTGGTTGTGGAATTAGCCATATCCTTTATAAGTCTTGGAGTTCCTACAATCTAAGAATTGGCATGCACCGCAAGTAACCACAACTCCTAAGAGGGTGCAGTTTCTATTTCTAGATCTCCTCCAGGATTCTCTCGGTTTAGGAGTATGATTTTATCCCAAAAAGGTCTATCTCTTGGTTGGTATGAATACACCAATCTAGGGTTTGTTTATGGTAAAGCAATTTATGCACTCTAATTCTCTTTCCCACCACTTAAGTCTTATATTTGCTTACTAACTTGACTATTGGAGAGCCTTTGGTCGGCACACCTTCCCCGGTCTTAGGCTTGCTCACAATTGTTTGTTTTTCACATGTTACTCAGATTTGTGCATCTCCACCACTAACGACAGTGTGTGAATTTGGTTCCAACACAATTAGTGCTTTCATTGAGAATATGATTGCTGAAGAATTGGTGCATCGCCACCACCACAAGCATGATTGTTAAAGGAAGCTCTGTTAACTCTAATGTTAATCCCATCATGGGAGACAACCCATTTTTCGATGCATCCGTTATCCCAAAGGTGGATAACCCGCTACTTACACCTCCCCCACTTCTAGAGCAAGTAATTAACAGCCCACAGGAGACGACAACCACGCTTGGAAAAAATGAAAGTCCGATCAACAGGTCCCCTCATTCCATGGACGACATTTAGGATACCTTAATGAATATTAACACCTCTATTGACAAAGCTGCTAAAAAACCAAATGGCTGCTCGAGCTGAGAGCCACTACAATTTCGTGGACGTCGAAAATCAAACGAAGAACTTGGAGAATTCTAGCGGGACTACCCCTCAGACTGAGATTTTCGTTTTCGGTTACATAAGCACCATAACCTTTGAAGGGGAAACGATCGTATCAACCGTTGCTCCAACTCCAACAAACATCACTGATCCAAGTAGACATCGCTTCTAAAAGCAGGCTCCGAGCCCCACAAGACTCTCCTTAACCAGCACATCACAATAGCGCTGCCAACTTTCCAAGTTAAACTGTATCTGCTCAAAACCATCGCAAAGATATGGATGTCAGATTTATGTAAAATTTTGCAAAACGCAATTCTGAGCTACTTGGAGAATGTTATCATCATTTTACCACTCATAGAGCAAGCTGGAATATCTCTGCAGAATTCCTCAAGTTCTTCATCCAAACTCATATCAAATAACATACAACCAATTGCAACAACTTATGAGTTCAGGATACACGCAGTCATGATCAAGTTAATGACTAATCTAAGGGTTCAACCAGTTCAAGTCCGCTTCGATGAGCTAAAAACAAAAGTCACCCGCAAAGCATTGTGTGAGAACTCCCAAATTGTCCTCCTCCACTACTAGCTTGTAATGGAAAATGAGTGTAGCGGAGAAGAGTGCTTCATTGGATGTGTGGGCACACGAGAATGATAGGATTAAGAACGAAGATATCCGAGGTAAAGTAAGAGTGGCCACAATTGAATATAAAATAAGAGAAAATTGGTTAAGGTGATTGGGGCATGTGAATCAAATACCTATAAATGCTCCAGCTAGAAGATGCAATTATGAGACTGAGGCTCAGGGCAAAAGGGGTAGAGGAAGATCTAGGAAGACTTAAAAAGATACTCTAAGAAAAGACATGAAGTACTTGGAGCTAACAGAATACTTGGTGCAAAACCTCATGCAGTGGTGTTCTATGATTCATATAGCTGACCTCACTTAATGAAATAAGATTTTGTTGTTGATGTTTTTTGTTGTTGAGGTCTAAGAGAAAAGGACTTGTTCATATGTATACCCATAAAATACTTGAGATGCCTAAGTGCTATTAGAAAAGGTTTCGATACCGGAGTTTAGAAGAAGTAATGAAACAAAAAACACAAAATAAAAGCAATTTTTACGTGTATACAAAGAACACAACTCATATGACGTAGCATTCAACTCATTATAATAAGGGTGAATGACATTGATGCATATGTCTCACTTCTCACGTATATATCAACAACAAAAAATACATGTTATGATTTAAGTGGGATTTGTAACGTCACGTGACCATATTTTATATAAAAAAGTACTCAATAGAAGGTGGAGAATCCTCATATTTTTACGCTCCTTTTTAAATTTTATTAACGCGCCATACATGATATAATTAACTATCAATTTAGATGTATTTCCTGTACTTGGTTGTAAAGAATTCAAGTTCAAATCTATAAAAATTCCATCAGTCGTTAAAATCCTCCGTATTAGTCATATTTCCTTCTTGTTTCATTATCTTTTGGTGCACTTAATCATGTGTATTCAGTCGTCCTTCCAATCACATTTGCAAAGAAAATCTACTCACTGGGCAAAGATACGGCAAAATACAAAGAATTGAATATATAATCACAGATTAATTGTAAATACATTGAATAAAACGGAGGCGCCTCACAAAATCTATGTATTTTGGAAAACCTATTAAACTCTACAAAATCCTATGAACAATGAACACATTTAAACTCTATAAAAAAACCCAACTCAAAATCTTTTCCGACTCACTCGAATTCTGATAGTTGTAGAGAGATCATGGCTACTTCCTCACCCTCACCCTCACTGCCGCCTCCACCACCGCCGCACGTAGTTATATTCCCCTTCATGGCTCAAGGCCACACCATTCCATTGCTAGACATATCAAGGGAACTCTCAAACCGTGGCCTAAAAGTCACCATCGTCACCACCCCACTAAATGCACCGTTCATCCACTCCAAACTCTCAAACCACATGTCCATCACCGTCTCCGTTGTGCCGTTTCCACATGTCCCGGACCTTCCGGAGGGCTGTGAGAATACCGCCGACCTTCCTTCAATAAACTCGTGGGTTCCCTTCGTCACTGCCACCAAACAAATGAGACCACAATTCGAAACCCTTCTGCATGATATGGTCGACGGTGGTTCCCGGCCACTTTGTGTAATCTCAGACTTCTTCCTCAGTTGGACGTTGGACACGTGTCGATCATTCGACATTCCACGTGTTGTGTCACATGGAATGGGTGTACTGCCTATGCTTGTTCTTAAAGCCGCTTCTATGCACGTCCGATGCCAATACCAACGTCAACGCCAGAAGACTTTAGACTTGGAGTCAACAGATTTATTACCAAATTTGGCACTTCCCTTCACGTTGGATATATCCGATTTACCTCCTCGATCCCTTGATCCGAATGACGCATTTGAACGCGTCATCTCAGAAGTCGAAGAGGTGGATAAGAATAGTTGGGGTGTGATTGTCAACAGCTTCCAAGAGCTTGAATGTGAGTACGTTGCTGCATTGGAAGGTTTGTACAAGCATGCCAAAGCATGGTGTGTGGGGCCGGTTCCACTCTATGAAGGGGACGATAGGCCCCGCAATGAGAGTGTATCGTGTCCGTACATCAAGTGGCTCGACGAGCAGGACGGATCCGGTGTGGCGATCTACGTGTCGTTTGGTACACAAGCCCGATTGTCGGATGACCAGATGGACGAGATCGCTTACGGGTTGGAGATGGCGGGGTATCGGTTTATATGGGCCGTTCGATCGAAGACGTGGAGGGCGGGTGAAGGGTGGGAGAGAAGGGTGGAAGGGAGAGGGTTTGTTGTACGTGATTGGGTGGACCAGCGGAGCATCCTAGCGCATCCAACGGTGGGTGGGTTTTTGAGCCACTGTGGGTGGAACTCCGTGATGGAGAGCTTGTCAATGGGGGTCCCATTATTGGCTTGGCCAATGGGAGCAGAGCAGCCACTGAATGCCAAGTATGTTGCAGTGGGATTGAAAGCAGGGTTGATGGTTAAACCAGAGAAGATCAAGACCGTTGATCGCCATGTGATTTGTGATGGAGTGAGGGAGCTGATGGGAGGTGAGAAAGGGAGGAGGGCTAGGGAAAGGGCAAGAGTACTGGGGAGCACGGCGAGGCGTGCCGTGGAGAAAGGTGGATCGTCGGATAAGAAATTGGATGAACTGATCAAATCCCTCATTGCCAATGCCAACCAAAAGGAAATAAAATTCTAAAATTTCTTGTGAAATTGGCCAAATTGATAGTTGATATTTTATCTTGATTAGTTCAATAATTAAAATTTATTTTTTGATCATTTACCTAATTTCACAAGTTTCTTTGACCTTGATATGACCTTTTTTTATAGGAAAACTAATAAAAAGGACTTAAAAACTTTGAGTTTTAATGATAAGGACAAAATAAAGGATAAAGTGAATAGTACATGATTGACTTTTTAATGTAAAAATATGATTTTTCGTTAAAGTGAACAGTACCAAGTGCTTTTCGTTAAACTTCCCTTTTTTTATCCGACTTTTTTCCCCAATTGATCTAAGTTTTGCGTTCAACACTCACTTGCGTAAACGGATAATTCAATTCTCCACCGGCATGCATAAACAAATCTCAACCATTGGATGATACGAGATCAATCTATACGCATAAAAATGCGTTTGGTATCGATGCACATCGACATGTTGTATTTCTGAACGAAATGTAGCCTCTTGTAGTTTTTTGCCCTCACAAAATACAACAAATTCTCTTAAATAACAATTACATTATTCCATCATTCAGAGGCAAAAACCACAAATGCGCTATCATCTTTCATATAATTCTGATAATTCAAAAGTTAAAAGTTAATAATTTGGTCTTGTATATTGACAATACTACCCTGAGTCACCTTTTTTCACTCCTCACGGTTCAAAACACCTCCAGCAGGGGCTGCAACGGTAATTTCAATATCAAGAGGTAAAAGGTTTAATAAGCTCAGTCACCTTCTTCCTGATCAAATTCCTTAACCTTCACATCGGCATCTTCTCCGAACTGAATGCAGGTATCGATCTGAGCCAAGACATAGCTCATGCTGCCAAAAAGATATTTGTAAAAAGGAAAACCCCAACATTACTCTCTGATTGTAGATGATATAAATCAAAAATGAAAAAGCAACTGAAGTGAAGATCATACGTGCCCGTTAATCAAACAGTCAATACCAAGAAACGAAAACACAAAAAAAAATAGAAATATATGATGCAAACAGAGAAAAAAGGATAAAGCAATGCCAAATCCTATGACTTTCTACCACCCCATCAAGCTTTTATCAAATCAATCCCAAGCCATGTTCTCTGGTTCATCGAATGATGAGTAATAAACTATGTACGGTTGTCATCCACTACGTCGACACTTGATTCAGTCCAGGAGTGTTTTAATCCAAGTATAAGTATCTAAGATAATTTGCCTCACAGTATTTGACGATTTTCGTCCTAAGACAAACAAAACGACAGAATAATGTATAGTCAAACCACCCACGAAGGAATAGAAATATACGAGACTGCTTTGCGCTAACGCTACACAGATGACATTCCCTCCAGCGGCCCAACAAAAAATAAAAGTGCCATTCAACTTTGGATCAGAAAATTGCAGCTTCAGACCCAAATAACAAGGTCCTCCCTAGTTCAACCCAATGTATTAAAAGCGTGAGGCGTGGGCAAGGCGTCTGAGGGATAGCCCGGCCTAGGCGTCACGGGACCTAAATTTTAATATATACACTGAGCGTACACATATATTATAAATATATACACACACACATATATATACATATATTATATTATATATATATATAATAGAGGATGAAAAGTACAATGAGCACACATATAACAATGCACGCAGATAGCACACACATCCATTATATAAAAAAAATAAAAATCAGAAAAAAAAAAGTAGAGAGACAATAGTACAAGGAAGAGGTCTGAAGCAGTTAAAACCTATCCAAAATTTGGGTTTAAGAGTATAAAAAAAAAAAAGCCCCTGAGGCGCACCTAGGCGGCTCCGGCGACGCCTTCCGCCCACTCCCTTAAAACAGAGGCGGCAACCTTCACGTCTAGCCTTAGAGGACGCCTAGGCGCGCCCTGAGGCGAGCCTTTTAAAACATTGGTTCAACCTAAGAAACCTATTATCGTGAGCATATAACGACCGAGAACTCTAAACAGAATGTCATTATCCAAGGATTTCCAACACCAAAACTTTAAATGCCAAACATCTTTATTTTAAAGTGATAAATCTCACAGGACCAACATAACTCAGCCTGATGAGCAAAACAGCGATCACCAGATAAGATTAAAGTCGCACAAACAAGAAAAGACATACAGGAAAACGTGCACAGATAGATACAGAAAAATGTGCATAGAGAGAGTGCGTACCTGCTTGACTTCCTCAAGTCTAGTGGCACAAAACTCACCATGCTATAATCATCGACCTGACAATCCAACAAGATAGTTACTCCTTAATGCACTGACTGTGGCCAGTAAGATTATGAGTAATTTGTTTACAAAACAACGCCTATAACTACCACAAGTCATAACCATAACCACAAAACTTGATGCTAGTCAGTACAGGACATGGTACAACCCTACATCATATATACCCTCTACCATGTAACCCACAGCCGAAGTCAAGTGAAGGTTACATGGCTCCTCAACTGACAGGATAACTGATAAAGATAATACAACCAAGGGACCAAAGCAAACCATACAGAACGATTTGGAAAAAAAAAAAAAAAACATACAGAACAACCATAAAGAAAATCTCATCCGGAAGGAAGTATGCTTTGCTAAACAGCTATCTCCAATTCACAAACTCAAATGGAGACAATTTATATAAGAAAGATGCACACTATAACTCACTAGTTCAATCAAAGATTTATTTAGCTTTGCAAACTGAGGAGCCATGCGTTGATTCAACTCTGACAATAAAACTTGAGGCTCCGGATACAAGAAGCTGAAACATAAAAGATACAAAACAAAATTGAGCTATTTAATAAGTTAAACAGATCAATACAGATAGGCTAATGGAAGTAGTAGAGGATAGAGTAACTCACTCTTCAATATCCTTTTTTCTCGGTGCAAGGTCCATTTTGGAGAGAATATTAACATGTGGTAATTCAAGTTGAATCATGGCAGAAAGAGATGCCATGCACCCACTAATAAACTTTGTCACATCCGTAATAAACTGTTTCAAATAGAAGAATAAATATATTTATTTGGGGGAACAAACAGAATAAACAGTAATTCCAAGGAAGGAAGAGGAAATGTTTGAGCAAAGATTACATGATAGAACTACAAACACTTATCACAGACCTGAGAATCAAGCAAGTACACGACGCAGACTTTGAAATTTTTACGCTGCAGATGCTCCACGAAGTTCCGAAGCACAGGCACATGCGAGAAAAGTTCTATCTGGCCTATAACACAAGTGGAAGCCTCAAATTATTATGTTTCACAAAAATTCCTCCAAAGACCCATGCACAGAGAACTAAGAGCCTTGAAATAAGTTTGCTTTTAATAGTAGGGTACCTACTGTCAACTCAGAAAACATGTCACCTAGCTAGTACTATTATTTCTTCCTTGTAATGTAATAATAATATCATTCATGAAAAACTTTAACCTTATTGTAGTCCATTTTTCCATCAACAGAACATGTGGATTAGTATGGATACCTGGGCAGTCAAAAACCAAGTAGTCATCATCCGTGTAATTGTCTAATTCCTCTGTGAGCCATTCATCCAGATTGTCCTCAAGGTGTCTAGAATTCAAGATTAAGGACATTCACCAAAGAAATTATAAGATTTAGAGAGAGGAGTACACCCAGAAGTGGTACAAAATGATTCACTGCTGTTATCACACGCAAACATTCCATGTCTGTGCCCTTCAAAAGAATGGCAAGCATTCCAAGTACAAGAAGGAAAAGAACAGAAGAAAATTAGAGAACAATTTGGAAAAAGGATACTCCATGCAGTATAAAAGTCCACCATTGGGACCCAAACCAAGTTCCTCCATAACATCCTCCAAGGAAACAAGCTCCCTAATATCTGCGAGAGGGAAAATAACAAAAAACAAGTCAAGTGCGGTTCATGAAACTAAATAAGGGAGCAAATAAATGAACTGATTACTTACCCATGGCCACAGGGTAGTCAAAATTTTCAGCAGCAGGATCCAGATTAACAATATTGATATTCCTCCCAATAGCCGTACAGTGTTCGTGCAAGCTAGAGCAATAAGTCGACTGGTTCCAAGAAGTAAACGAACTTATTAAAACTAGTAATCGGTACATAAAAAACATCAAAAAACACAATCATAGCGGTCCTGGTGTGATTATAATGTATTCCTCATTCAAACACTGTTGGGGCAATAAATTGACAGTCACAAGAAGTAAACAAACTCGTCAAAACTAGTAATGGGAACACATTTTTTTTTTTTTTCGAGAAGATAGTAATGGGAACACATAAACATCAAGAAATGTTAATCATAGTGATTGCCCATATGATTATGATGTATCTCACATACAAACAATGGTGCCCCAATTACATCAGTAATCCAAATGGTTCCGAAAAGCAAAGCAAACTCATCAAAACTAGAAAAAAATACAGAGTAACATAAAAAATTACAAGCACCTAATTCCCATGTATCAAGAATCCCACATTCAAACAGTTGGTGCAAATTGGAGCAAAAATGGACCGGAAAGCAAACTCACTCATAAAAAATAGTAATGGGTACACAAAAACATAAAAAAATATTAAATTTTACTGATTGCCCATGTGACTGTGATGCAAGTGAGTGCTACAGAAAATTTGGGCGGTGAAATTTACCTTGCCGCTGCCGGCAGGGCCAATAACCAGCTGCGCGTAACCCATTTCAGATATCTGGGTTTTCTTGCTAGGGCTGCTAATTCAGAGATAAGTACTGCATCAAACGCCAAATGCAATCAATCGAGGGTATTAGAGGATCCCGTATAACAAAAACCCTAATTTAAATACAAAGGATATTTATAAAAACCCTAATTAGAGCTTCACCTTGCTTCAATGGTAGAAAAAGGGTCTAGGGTTTATTACCTTTCTATGACGAGATGGATGGACACTGAGTGGAGGTTCCTTTTATTCTCGTTTCGTTTCGTTTTTATTTATGTTTTGCCGCGACTTGTACTTTTGGGCAAATTGCAATACTAGTCCCTGTCTTTTACTTGTACTTTCACTTTCTTCTTTGAAGTATTTTTGTGCATTTTAGTCCTTATTTTGTTAGCAGCGTTGTCCAATTGTGTTTGTTTTATCCAAAATGGTTTATGAGATTGGCACAATTTTTCGCTTTGGAATTTTTAATTTTAGACATCTGTGGGAGTTAGTAACAGTGGGATATGGAAGCCGTGTACATAATCACCAAGCTCAATTTGAGGGGAATAGTTGGCCGTCATAACCTCGGAACATAACAAAGTTCAACCAAGTTTCCCTTTGTGCATCTAAAAGAAGTTGGACACAGCACGCACAACGTTTACTCTTTTAGGCTATCTGCTTAACTTGTTTCACCCTTTCGACATCTGGGGCATGGAAATTCTTTTCCACCTCCCAAGCTAATTGAGACATGCAGTTAAACATTGACTTCACACCCTTCTCATCCGTCACATCCCTGGGGAAGGGAATGCGAACCTCAAATATACTTTCCTGAGGAGACCAAAGGCGCAGGTCAAAGCCTATTTTGCTTCAGAAACCTGCACAAGGAAACTACCATTACCATCGCAGAATCACTGATATAAGTGATGTACAAACAAGTCCTCATGAAATGTCGATAAAGGATTCAATAATTCGGGCTAAAATGTATTTAAGCTTCTTGTAGAATGATTATTTGGTTTATGGAAATCCTGTAGATAAAAATGAAATGTGCTCAAATTTTGCAGACAGATCCGTACAGCTGAACATGCAAGCGTCCAAATTATGGTTTGCGTGATTGAAAAGTAACATGGCAGTTTAGTTGGGAATGCCATTAGTTTAGGATGATTTTTTTCATCATATTGCATGAACCCCGGACATGAAAGCTCATTCATTGGTTGCTGGTTTCTTATTTTTCATTTTTGGTGAAGAAAAACATTTACTGGTCAACTGTAGTTTTTCCCTTCCAACTATGATTGGCGTTGTCTAACTTAAGTTAAGAATTCTGTATATAGTTCAGTGTTTCCAGTACCAGCTTAGCAAGGTGTCAACTGCAATATCCAATACAACTAACAATCACAAAAAGTGGGTTGGCACGAACCTGGAAGTTCAAATCAGCATAGACGTTGCAAAAACGATTAATATCTTCAATGTTGTTGGTGTTTATCTCATTTACCAGCTTTTCCGCAAAGTCCCTAAGAGGATCAGGTTGTGCCTTTTTATAATCTGAAGATGTAACCCACATACCAACCTGTGAGAATATCAGAAGAGTTAGAAAGCAGAACTGCTTTTGCATAATCCATCTCAAATAAGTGCTGACTTAAGAACTAGGGGTAAAACTTGGCAGGATTTACCCACACCAGTCTTACCAGACTACCAGTATAGCAAATAACTATTGTGTATAGCAAATAACTATCTGTATGTCTACTAGTCCAGCACAGGAGCAAAGAAAATGCCATAATACCTCTTAAAGTCCTCCAACTGAAGTACCTGTTCCACAGAAACAACATATATCAGATCTTCATCAACTTCTTCTCCAAACCTCTTTTTCGATACTGAATGAAGGTACTGAAAGAAACAGCATTGAAATCCAGATGAAATACTGATTAAAAAGATATACATTCTCACCTCACAAATACATACTAGCATAAACTAAAACAGATCATACATAATGCTTTTTATGAGCTTTAAATGGATCATAAGGTTTTCCTTTTTTCTTTTAAGAATGGATCGAATTAAAAGGCCACTACACGTAATACCTACATGGGCCTGTGTATGCTTTGTCGGAGGACTGAGTCCAGTAAATAAATCCAGCCACATATGCTGGAACTCATGTCTGTACAAAAACTGAATGGAAATACAAGTTCTAACATCACACACGAACATTAATCCAACCCAATCCTAATGTCAAGCATACAACATCCAAAACCCTATATTGCACGTCAAAACCACGATATGACACATGGCCAATCATAAATCAAACTGTTTAAAGGTTACGCAAGGCAGACATTTAAGTGATAACTCTAACATTTACTTGACAAAAACCATGGCAGTCTGACATAACCATCCTAGTGTTCTATCCCACTGCAAACGGTTCAATCAGAAATGGACTAGGTACACGAAACATCTATGCTACTTTTCTAATTCTGCATCCCTCATAGTGAATTCCATTTTTAGTCCTAAAAAATCGGCAACAATTATGCTTTCTACGTGCTTCCTTACAACTCAAGCAACACGCAAACACTGAGCTGACCCATATTATAACACACTTGGTAAAGCCACAAGTAACAAACCACTTTCTAGTAAACCTATTCTACATGAACAAAATTGATTTACCTTCAACATTGCCCTGTCTTCCGGTTTGTCAATGCTGCCTAAAATCGTGCACTGAGGTGTTCGCAGCCCGTTTTGCTCTAACTGCGCGCCAAAACCGACAGCAGAAACCCCTTAAAAACCTCAAAAATCATCTTAAACTTTACAATCAATCATCTAAATTTAAAAAAATCAGACCCCATTAAAGCACCTGGACATGGAAGCTAGACCTCATGTCAATAGAAAACTGCCGATTAGAGGCATTCAAGCACAACACCGGAGTCCCTTCTGGGTCGACCGCGAACCGGACGCCAATGCCCAAAGGCCAACCCTCTTGGGTCAGAGTAGAAAGCGTGCCCACAGACACCAACTCCATAATTGTCTGATAAAGACCAACTCCGGATCCCTATCTCAAACCTGCAAGTAGCTCAGATAGAGAGGGGAACATTGGCGGGGAAAGATAGAGAGAGGAAAGGGGAGCCGAAGCCCAATATTTTCAATTGATAATTTTTTATTTCAATTACAACCCGAATCGCACAAGCTCCATGTGAGCCTTTAATACATCTTTTCAGATCAACTAATACCACCTGTCACTACTTAACTACTAATCACCCACTTAAGGACTAACCCTGATATTACTTCTACTAAGTGACTTATCATTTATTATATTCATATCATTACCCCTCCCTTGGAGAACAACCTTGTCCTCAAGGTTTAAAAAACAAAGTTGGGAAATCTGGCAATGAATTCATCATAGTCCTCCCATATAGCTTCCTTGTCCGACAAACCCTCCCACAACACCAAGACTTGGACTCCCGCAACATCACCCTTCTTGTACATACGCCTCTGTAGCACCTCCTGTGGTTTCTTCACTTCCAAACCAGCCGTGACTTGCTCTGGTAAAACAGCCATAGGAGTGATCTGAGAACCCACCTTTTTCTTCAAACAACTCACATGGAATACATGATGTATTTTGGTGCCCTCAGGAAGCTTGAGTTTGTAAGCCACCTTGCCCATTCTTTCCACCACTTCAAATGGTCCATAGAACTTAGGATGTAACTTGTGGAAGGTATGGGAATTTAATGACTGCAGCTGATAAGGTATCAACCGCAAGAACACCCAATCTCCCACTGTAAACTCCCTCTCTGTGCGATGTTTATCAGCCTGATTCTTCATTCGGGTTTGAGCCCGCACCAGATTGGATTTCAGCAATGCAAGCATCTGATCTCGTTCCAATAAAGCTTGCTCCACAACTTCCAGTTTAGCTGTGCCCCGTTCATAGGTGATAACAAGTGGAGGAGGAATACCATACACAATCTCAAATGGAGTGAGCTTGGCAGATGTGTGGTATCAGGTATTATAACTCCATTCAGCCCACGGAAGCCAATTCACCCACTTCTTTGGTTGATATCTCACAAAACACCTCAAGTATGTTTCTAAGCACCTGTTCATGACTTCGGTTTGCCCATCACTTTGGGGATGATATCCAGATTTCATGCTCAATTTAGAGCCCTGCAACTTGAAGAATTCTTGCCAAAATTGACTGAGGAACACGGAGTCTCGATCACTGACTATATTAGAGGGCATGCCATGAAGCTTAAACACATGTTCCACAAATAGGTGGGCTACACTAGCTGCAGTGTATGGATGAGAGAGTGCAATGAAGTGAGCAAACTTAGACAACCTGTCAACCACCACCATTATCACAGTCTTGCCCTTGCAGTTCGGTAACCCGACAATGAAATCCATGCTGATGCTAGTCCATATTTTCTCTGGAATGGGGAGAGGTTGAAGTAAACCCGGTGGAGCTATTGTTTTGTATTTATTTTGTTGGCAAACATCACATTCTGACACAAATGCCTTAATATCTTGCTTCATGCCCTGCCAGTAAAAACACCGTTTGAGTCTTTGGTAGGTTTTAAGCACCCCTTGATGTCCGGCAGTGGGCGTGCAATGATGTTCCTCCAGCACTTTGAACTTCCAACCCGAAGTAGGACTAAGAACAATGCGTCCTTTGTACTTCAAGAATCCATTATCTAAGTGGAAATGGCTAAACTTAGAACTGGCACCCGTCGAAGGGTCGGCCAAGAAGTGAGCTACTTCCTGTGATTTATTCTTAATCCAAGGATCAAGCTCCAACTCTCTTCTTAATTCATCTAACCACCCAAAATAAGGATAGGTGATAGCCCTGCATTCCAACATTTTAATTGACACTTCCACAGGTACATCTGAGTTATCCTTGTGCGTGGGAATTCTTGATAAGGCATCAGCAACCACATTTTCCTTGCCGTGTTTATACTAAATCTCGTAGTCATAACCAAGCAACTTGGAAACCCACTTTTGCTGGAAAGCAGTGTTGGCTCTATGATACATAAAATATTTAAGGCTGTTGTGATCAGTCTTAATGATGAAGTGTCTACCCTGCAGGTAGTTCTGCCACTTTTTAATTGCATATACTATAGCAATGAGCTCTCTCTCGTAGGTCGAAAGGGCTTGGTTCTTTGCTCCCAAGGCTTGGCTAGCGAAAGCCCTCAGGTCTCCCTTCTTGTTGCAACACAGTGCCTATCCCGTTTCCTGAAGCATCACATTCCAACTCAAATGGCTTCGAAAAATCAGGAAGGGCCAAGACCTGTGGTGATGCCATGACTGTTTTTAAGTGCTCAAAAGCCTCATTAGCTGAAGGAGACCATACAAAGCTGCCTTTCTTAGTGAGTTGGTATAAAGGCTGGCAAATCCTTCCGTATCCTGGCACAAACTTGCGATAATAGCCAGTTAACCCCAAGAACCCTCTTAACTGCTTCACAGTAGTAGGAACGGGCCACTCAAGTATAGCATGAAGCTTGGTAGGGTCTGCAGATACTCCTTCCCGTGAGACAATGTGGCCCAAGTATTCCACAGTGCTCTGACCAAAAGCACACTTCTGTTTCTTCACATATAATTGATTCCATTGCAAAATAGCAAAGGTCTCTTGCAAATGAAGCAAATGATCCTCCCATGTCGTGCTATAGATTAAAATATCATCGAAGAAAACCAAGATAAACCTTCTGAGGAAAGGCCTAAAAAGATCATTCATGAGGTTTTGGAAGGTAGCAGGGGCATTGGTTAGGCCGAAAAGCATAACCAGAAATTCATAGTGGCCTGCATGAGTGCGAAATGTTGTTTTCTCTATATTTGATGGGTGCATACGAATTTGATGATAGCCAGACCTTAAATCCAGCTTAGTAAAATATTGTGCCCCAAATAATTCATCCAGCAGGTCATCAATTAGTGGAATGAGATACCGATCTTTCACAGTAATGGCGTTCAATTCCCTGTAATCCATGCACATCCTCCAGGTACCCTCTTTCTTCCTTACTAAAAGAACTGGAAATGAAAAAGGGCTATGACTAGGCCTGATGAATCCGGCATCCAAGAGTTCTTGCACTGCTTTCTCGATTTCAGATTTTTGAACCAGTCCATAATGATAGGGTCTTATGTTAGGAGGTTTTGCACCAGGAATCAATGGGATTTTATGATCATGGTTGCGAGGGGGTGGTAAGGCAGTAGGCACCGCAAAGACTGCCTCAAATTGGCCCAAAACCTCCTGCAGTTGCTATAACTGAAAAGGAGTAAGGTCAGATGCTTCTAATTTGTCCTTAGCCATGGAATACAATATCACCCCCAGATTGGAGTCATACGATTCCTTATCAAGTTGATGCACAGAAATCTCTTGCACTAAAGGCGTAAGAGGAATACTGTGATGCAGCCGATATGTGTATCCCCCTTTGCTGAATTCCATAGTCAAGTAGTGAAAATCCCAGAGCACAGGACTGATAGTGGATAACCAATGGACCCCTAAAACCATGTCACAACCTCAAAGAGGCAAAGAGAATAGCTCAATGGAACAGTTATAACCTCCCAAGGACAGAGGGACATCCTTAAAACAACCACTGCCCTTAATTGTTCCACCATTAGCAATCATCACTTCAAAGGCAGGAGTGCCAGCAGCCACCCAACCCCATTTCTTGGCTAATCGAGAGTCTAAGAAACTGTGAGTACTGCCAGAATCAAGCAAAATGCGCACTGTTTGGTTCCGCACAAGACCCTCCACTTTCATTGTTTGCACAGATCGATTGGCAGGGGTGCCATAGAATGCACATTCACTCAACTCCATATGCAACAGTTCTAGAATTACGTCAGTGTCGCCCTGGTCAGCCCCTAACTCATCATCCACAACATCCAACATCAACAGTTGTTTATGGGGGCATTTGTGATCACGACTCAATTTCTTTGTACAGAACCAATATTCACCCCGTTCCTTCTTGCACTGAACCTCAGCCGGTGTGAGTGTCTTATAAGGAATTGGAATGTGGCGAAGTGGAGGTGCAGGAAGTTGGGGTAGTAAGGTAGGTGGTGGTTTCAAAGTATTAGCAGCTCGAGGGAATGAGGATTTCAGGGCATTCACTTTAGCATCAACTTGAAGAGCAATAGAAATTGCATCATGCACCGTAAAGGGGCGCAACAACTTAACATCATACTATAATTCACGTTTTAACCCTCATAAGAAACAGCTTTTGAGCAGGGCAGGACCAACATCACTAGATCGAGTGGCAAGCTTACAGAAATCAAGAATGTAATCCTTCAAAGGTCCTGATTGGCGAAGTTTGAAAAGAGACTCCATGCTATCTTCAAATTCAGGAGGACCGAACTCCTAACAAAAGGTGGTGGTGAACTCTGACCAAGAGGGTGTGGATTGCAAACATTGGCGCCAGCGAAACCACTGTAATGGTTCACCATCCAAGTGGAAGGAAACTGTAACCACCTTCAGATGCTCAGGAATGGCGTAGTAGGAAAAGTATTGGTCAGCCCTATAGATCCAAGCCAGAGGATCGTCGCCCTCACTGAAACGAGGAAAATCCAAGCGAGGTTGCCAAGGAGGACGAGAAGTCAAGTCGCCACCCTCACCACCATCACGACGGGGAGGGCGAGGGGTCGCAATACTCCAAAGATCCACATCATCATGGAAGAGCGGTGAAGGATGAACGGAAAAAGTGGCGGGCGACTTAGGATCTAAAGTTTGGCCACCTCCACCAGGCAAAACTTGTTCACGACGAAATTGCTCGAAGAAGGCTTGAAGTTTCAGATCCCACGACGCCGTTAAGGAAGCATTATTGGAGGAAATAGCCGCCTGAAGCATCTGAGGCAAATTAGCGAGAGTAGCTTCCACGGCATCCATGCGAGAGTCCATGGCGGCGTACTTGGAATTGGCGGTGTGACGGGGCATACAAGAGGGAAAACCAGGATTGGAAGGCTGATACCAATGATAAAGACCAACTCCGGATCCCTATCTCAAACCTGCAAGTAGCTCAGATAGAGAGGGGAACAATGGCGGGGAAAGATAGAGAGAGGAAAGGGGAGCCGAAGCCCAATATTTTCAATTGATAATTTTTTATTTCAATTATAACCCGAATCGCAAAAGCTCCATGTGAGCCTTTAATACATCTTTTCAGATCAACTAATACCACCTGTCACTACTTAACTACTAATCACCCACTTAAGGACTAACCCTGATATTACTTCTACTAAGTGACTTAACCTATCACTTATTATATTCATATCATTGTCCTAGAAACCTCAGCTGGAACCGGCCTGTGGCTATGCGTCTTCGTTTCTACTTGGGTCGGCTCCGAAACCGCCAAAAGCAAGCATCTTAGGGTTGTGAGAGAAATATTGGATTTTGGGGGTGGGTTTTGAGGGAAGGAATGGAAGGGACAAATGGGTTATGAGAGATTGAGTTTGGAGAAGCATTGGAGGGAAAAATTGGGGTTTAGGGTTTGTTGATTCAATTAGGTTTTTTATAGGTGAGGAGTGGAGAGAAATGTGTGTGGAAATGTTGTGGCGGTCAATGGGGTGGAGGGGGCTGCAGACAGAAGAAAAGTGACAGTTTGTACAAACGGTTGGGGGTTGAGGAGGTGATGATGATGATAAGCAGGGAAAGGGAGAAATCAAGTGTGTGCAATTGTATGATAGACACAATAGGGCCTAAAAGGGTTTTCCTTTTTTTCTTTTTTTTGAGTACATCGATATGTTTACACGAAGGAAATGGGGAGTTCGACAAAGTCACATAATGGGCAGCCTAATTTGGTATCGAATTCGTAATCTACGAGATTTAAACCTAAGACCTCTCACTTCCAAATGAAGAGAAATACCATCAGACCGCAGTACTGAGTGGCAATCATTGCTTCTAATTCTTCGCTTGTTTTCCCCTTAATAACTAGGGATGAAATTTTTTGTCATAATCCGATTTACCAACTGAACTATATTGATCGGTTCATAATGGTATGATATAGTTTCGGCATTTTTTCATAATCGGTTGGCATTATACCAAACCGACAATTAATGGTATGACTTTGGTATTGGATTTATTATACCAGCAGTATGCCATATCGACCAATATGTGTGTGTGTGTGTGTGTGTGTGTATTCTATATCGACCAATATGTGTGTGTGTGTATTCTATTTAGATATTTTAGGTATTTTTTACATGCTTGACTCTTCAATTTTAGGGTTATAGAAAATAAATGACTCCTCAGTTTTAGAGTTTAAAAAATAAAGGTTGTTTAGTTTTTTTTCTAACTCTTGCACAACTTCCAGCAGCCTTGATCTCTTAGTTTTCTTCTTCTCTTCAACGCACACCTCCCTAGTTATAAGGGGATCTTATAACCAGAACTATACTTTTGAGTTTTGAGTTTTTTGTTTATGCATTAGTTACTACAATTGAATTTAGACAATTATATTAGTTAGACTTTTGAGTTTGTGAACTTATAACTATTTGGATTATATTTGCTGACAATTTTTGTTGGCTTATTAAGTTTAGATTTGATTTCTATTTTAATTTTTTAAGTCATGATTATGTTGGCTTATCATCAATTGAAAAATAGTGGCAGTAACTTCTTTTTCTCTTTTCTAGTTTGTTATTTATGGGTCGGTGCATGGTTTGGAGCTGTTGTTTTTGTACCTTACTTGCAAACCACCAGTTGTGCCATTTATTAACCGAACCAGACAATAATTTTGGCTAAACCGATTTTTGGCAACCGCAAGAAGACAGTTGGCTAGCCATAACTGATTTTCGGTAATTATGTATATATGGGTGGTAGGTGACACAAGTAATTTGGCACGGTTTGCCAACCAAACCTAGCCCTATTAATAAAAATGTTTTAAGCCTTTCAGGTTCTATGATAAGTAACACGAAATTACGAAAGTACTATTTTAAGTGTATGTGTTTGTAACTAAATAGAGCATCATGGTGATTAATTTGTGGTGGAGCCTAAATTGAATATTGGTATTTTGAAATCTGTTCACAATTATTTGACGTATGAAGTCACATTAAGCACGTCATAAGGTACTTGGGTTCATAGTCATTATGCAAGCTAAAACTACGTAACAAAAGCTTAGATTCTCACATTACTTGGTTAAGTACATAATAATTGTTAACTTTTGATCCACAATATCGATATGCTAACAATAAGGTAAATGACATATTGATCAAGAATCCAAGATATCTTCTAATTAAAAAGAGAGTAAACTTGTTCAGTTTCAAAAGCAGGGTAAAAGTGACACTTGAGGTATAATTCTGGGGCATTTCAGAAATAAACATAAATGAAATGGCTTATAAGGTAAACTTATTCTTTTATTTTATTTTCCCCTCCAAAACTAAAACTTTTCCACTCTGACGAGAAGCAAATGGCGGCAGGGACCTTCGACAATCCCTATTGCCCCTTCGAATCACCCATTTTCCACCAAATCAACTTCCCCTGTCACCTGCCTCCGCTTCTTCGATATAATTCCGTCAAAGGTGAGTTGTTTTCTTAATTGTAACCAAAACTCCACCACTCAATTTCCCCAAATAAAATAAAAAAAGGAGTGTGCTATTCATACGTTCCATTTTATTTCTCACACACCCCTTGATAATTTATGTCTGTTAATCTTCTTCAATTCATTCGATCCAACGACCGAAAATTAAAAATGTGTGTAAGAAGTAAAATGGGGTGTGTGGATATCACACCTCTTCAAAAAATTGAAAGTTCTTTCCCTCCTATTTGGTTGCAGAGATATGTTAGCGCTGTAAGTGGATGTCCCAAAACTTCAATGAAATGCTAACTCAGTGAACAACTAGCTCCTTGTTCAGTTTAGTTAAAGTTTTAGTTTTTCAATTCCGGTGCGTCCAAAGTAATAGCAATTATGAAGCACAAATTTTCAATTTTCTTTTGTTTTGTAGCATTTTCTCGGAAACCAAACAACCATGTAATGCTCAAATTATGCTATTCAAGCTTTTCCTCGTTGGTATCTAGTTGTGCAAAAATTGTATGTACATAAGGCTATAACAAAAAGTCCCAGACGGAGGAGGAACCCAAGCCAACCTGCACACGGTTGTGTTTACTAGAGATGCTAACATTATCTTTGAGCCATTTAGTAGAATACTCCAAGATGCATTTCTTTGGATCAGGAGGTTTAATAAAATTAGGACAAAATACAGCACAACACCTCCACTTCCATATGAACCATAAGGCTACATCAAAAACAAGATTCCAAGGTAACCCAAGCTCATGTGGATCATTGCATTTTAAATTTGCCTCCATACAACCAAGGAAGGAATCAAATTGGTTTCAATGAAGATGATGTGGAACATAAATATTTCTCCAGTCCCATATAGCTGCATGACAGCTTGAGAAAACATGCGACATATTTTTCCCTGCATAACTACAAATCAAACAAAAAGTGTTGCTAGACATGTGTTATTTAAAACGTTGCTCATTAGTCAGTAACTTACCATGAGACAAAATCCAAGGAAAGCATTTAACTTTAAGGCAACTTGCTATTCCAAATGAAAGCTCAAGAACAATCAGCAAATTCCTGGTTAGGAAAATTCATAAGATAGCCACTTTTCACATTGACCTCTCCATTATTGGTGCCACTCCAGATCATTGAGTCATTGCCACCACAGGACAAAGCAGTCGGAATACAAAGAATGTTCTGTATAACTTAGGGAGGAATCATAACACTTAACTTATCAACATTCCAAGACCCATTCTCAATGATGTTTGCAACTTTTAAATTTGGATCAAAACCATGAACTGAAGGCAGAGCATAATTAATCAAGGTATCATTTCCAACCCAAATATCAGACCAGAAATTTGTATTTTGACCATTTCCAAATCTCCATTTCAGGCCTTATGTAAGGTCTCAACACCATGAGTAATATTCCTATAAGAAGAAGAAGCACCCTTTGAGGCTTTAATTTTAAAAAGATTAGCCTCACCATGTTTGAGATATTTTTTTCCTACACATATTAGCCCATAAACCATTGTCTTTATTCAGTAACATCCAACCTGATTTAGCAAGAAGGGCCTTATTCATTTGATTTGCTTTTTTAATGCCAAGACCCCCTTTAATCATAGGACAATAAACTTTGTTCCAACTCACAAGGTGCGGTTTGGCTCAATCATCCACATTACCCCAAATAAAGTTTCTATTGATTTTATCAAGAGAAACACAAATACTGATAGGAATGCTAGCTGTTTGCATAGTATAAACCGATATAGCAGAACCTGTTAGAGTATGAGTGTGATTCATACGGTTTGGTAATAATCCTTGTTGTCTCAGATTGCTATAAGGAAGTCTTAATATGTTTATGAGAGTTAATTCGAATTTGGTTTGGATTGAAACTCTGTGTTGATAAGCTTAAGAATAGAACTGATATTGATATAAGGAATGCAGTCTTGTATTCCTTGTGGGATTGCTATAGGGTGATTCAGGTCTTGTAGTATAAAACCACAAGCCCCTGCTCTCACAAAACACGCTCTTATTGTTCGAATTACCTATAACTTGGAGAGCATTGAGTTTTGCAGAGAGGAGAAGGTTGTGTGCAGGTTTTCCTGGCTTTTTCATCCATAAAAATGTCTGCAGGTATGTGTTGGTATAATTGTTGCAGTTCTTACACTTATATTACATACATAATTTAAGGATTGTGATTTAGTTGATTAATCCTTGTGTTCTTGGCTAGTGTATTAATCTTTTAAGTCTAGTTTATTCTTACATGTGGTATAAGAGCCAATGGATTTTTTCAATTAAGTTCAATCACTGGTCCTTCAATCTGCAAAACTAATTGCGAATTAAGTTAAAGAACAAGTCTATTTATTGGTTTTATAGAACAATGATAATACGACGTCGTTTTAGGAATACTCTTTTGTTTTTTATTTCTGACCCTGGCAACATAAAAGGGAAAACTAGGGATTTATTATGTTTTTAAATTTTTTTTTTTACCATTGTCGATCCAAAAGGGGAGAAACTCGTGTTTTTCAATCTAGGAAAGGGTAAACTTATTCTTGCTTGCTTCTTTGGAGATCAATAAAGTGATTTAGCAAAACACATTTATCTTAAACATAATAGTTCTAATTTTGAAAATTATTACTTCCGCAGTGTTCATTATGATGTCTACAGATTGAGGTAATTGTGGTTTCTTAATCCTTTATATGAATAAAGATGTATTCTAATCAACTAATTATGTTGTTAAAAACCATTGAATGAAGATCGTGTTATCTTTATGATTCTTCATATTGATATTGACTTATTCCTTGTTCTATTGTTTTCTCTTGTATTATTGAAATCTGAATGGGAATTGTCTTTTTCTAGGAATTGGTGGCAACGAGATTCTAGCCGATAACTTTGGCGATGATTTTGGTTCGGCGCATCTGTAACAATGGCGATTTACTTCACAAATCTGCAATGAGTCAAGGAATCTCAATTGGGTTGACAAATATGGGTTCAGTGATGCATTTGGGTAACTCAGTTCACTATTTTATGCATGATTAATTGTTTTCCTATATGCATGATTATAGTGCGATGAGTTGGAGCATAATGAATTAAGGCTAGTATGCTATATATATATATATATATATATATATATTGTGAAGGCATGATTATACGCGAAATCCCTACAGATGCCAACTTGTGATTTACATGAGATGTTTGGAATCACGATATATTTAATTGTGGGGAGTAGCACTTGCACATCTTATCTTATTGTCAATTCCTGATTTTCAATTGGTTTGATTTATATCAAGTTTGGGTTGGAATGGATTTGACTGCATATCATATGCAAGTCAGCAGGTATTATATAGCAACAAATACAAATGCATATATAAAGTGGATGCCAATTGCTTTGTGATTTATATATAATAGCATATATGAATGAAATATGTATGCATATGGAGATAGCATTCGTGCATAGATGTTGTAATTATGGGCATGCGGTTTTATCTATATCAAATAGAACTTGCATAAGTTTCTCTGCATATTGATGCATGCATACAAGAAATATATGAACAGATGAATGAACATATATATGTGAAATATGTTTTGGGTAGAATTGTTATTGTGCATATATGACGAATCTGTATACATTTGGTGTAATTTGGGTTTTATTTTTGTAATGACCGTATTTTCATTAGTTGACCCAAATTAGATTTTTTGGCGATATAAATTGATCTTAGCTTTAAAATATTGCTTGTATGATTATATAGGTCAAGCTATAAATTTTGAGAATTAGCTTGTGTCATCCATATACAGGGATGATAAACAAATTAGCTTCTGTGATCTGTTGTCTATATTTTTGTACAACACAAATTGACATTGCTGAATGCATATTGATTTAATTTATGAATTCATAAGAAAGCCTGTGCTTATTGTATTGTGAAAATCATGGAGTTTAAGATGCATGCTTATTGTATATGTATATTTGTGATTTCATGATGCATGCTTCTACTATTATATTTTCGTTGAAATCACAAATAGGGAGGAATATGAACTTTGAGTTATCCAGAATAAATAATGGTCTTGATTATCTCGTTTTAATTAAAACATATTGTTGTGATATATATCTAGACATTATCAAAATTTGGTTGATCTTGCTTGATGGATATTGAACTAGTTAGGATAAAATTGAATGCAAAAATATTGTGCTTGCTATTCTGATTTTGATCGTTGTTGAAATTGGTAATTTTGGGTTTATGTGAGATAAGTTTTTTTTTTCCGAATGGATTGTGACTATCTTTTAATACATAGACTGTTTGCATAATGGTTTAGATGTATATGACTAAATTGAGATTATGCAATTGGTGAGGAATCGGGAACCAATTGGTTCATATCTCCAGTTTCTTTATTGGTTGTGCAATATATTCTGTTTATGCTTAAGTGGGAGAATCTTATGTTTGAATGTAAGCATAAGGCTAAGAGTATTTAGGCCGGCTATTATAATTCATATGGATGCTTAAAAGCCAGTTTATGGTTTTATTGAAGCAATTGGTTGAATTATTTGTGTTACTTAATTAGTTTAAGTAATGAGAAGGATCCTATTATGTTAGCATTCAAATGGAAACGAATTTGGTTTCCATATGGATTCTGATTAGTCATTCATTGTATTGGAATGATTTTTAGTTAATATAGTTGCTATTAACCTGTACTTAACTTTTGTGTTAAATATGGCCTAGTTAAGTGGGAGCAAATTGGTTTGGTTTTGCTATATTGGTTCACATAATTACAAAGTGCAAATTAAGTATGTTGTGACTTTTGAGTTAATTATGCGATGTAATAGAAAAGATTCTTAACTTCAATACTTTAAAATGCATAGGTAAGTTGTATGTGAGGTTAAGCTTTTGTCATCCAAAAGATTTGGTGATCACTTATATGAATATGGGGCTGCAGTTTGTTATAGAGCTTGTATGGTTGCTCTTAAGGGGAAGGAAAAAGTGAAAGAAGGTGCCATCATTGTGGAACATTTGGCCACTGATTTCATGATTGTTGATCCTTTAACCAAAGCCTTTCCAAATGGAGTTTTCAAAGCTCATATTGCTCAAACAGGAGTGGTGGATGCTCTTGATAAGTGGGAGTAATTATATCTGTTATCAAGAGCTTATGGAAGCCTGTTGTGGAATGCTTTACAAGTGGGAGTATGTTGCACAAGGTTTTCTGGAAGCTAAGTGTTCTAGTTTAGAACTTTATGCTTTATAGTTAGTTTTATGCTTTGTAGCTAGATTTTGTTTATGTTATCTAGTTAGTTGATGTTTTCATATAGTTCAACCCCTCCAGATAAATCTGTGATCAGTTGTTCAATGAAAACAGTTTGATAATTCAATAAAGGCTCTTGAGTTAATATTTTCGAATTTTGATAGAGCTGTTAGTGAATTATAATATTTTGGTTTATATTTTGGGCTTTATGAGTGGGAGTAAACTTTTGGTTTGCTCATGAGCTATGAAATGTTACTGCAAGCATGAATTGGACTTTGTGATTTATAAGATGAATCTGTACATTGTATTGCAGAGGAGATTATGAATTCATTGTCTAATATGTGTGAGTAGCATCATGTTAATATTGGAGACATATGTGTAACGCTTGTGTGATCACCTTTATATTGAATTTGAGATGATAATTTACTGTTATGAATCATACTCAAGTGGGAGAATGTTAGCGTATGAGTGTGATTCATATGGTTTGGTAATAATCCTTGTTGTCTCATATTGCTAGAAAGAAGTCTTAATATGTTTATGAGAGTAATTCGAATTTGGTTTGGATTGAAACTCTGTGTTGATAAGCTTAAGAATAAAACTCATACTGATATAAGGAATGCAATCTTGTATTCCTTGTGGGATTGTTATAGGGCAATCCAGGTCTTGTAGTATAAAACTACAAGCCCCTGCTCTCACAAAGCACACTCTTATTGTTCCAATTACCTATAACTTGGAGAACATTGAGTTTTGCAGAGAGGGGAAGGTTGTGTGCAAGTTTTCATGGCTTCTTCATCCACAAACATGTCTGCAGGTTGGTATAATTGTTGCAGTTCTTACACTTATATTACATACATAATTTAAGAATTGTGATTTAGTTGATTAATCCTTGTGTTCTTAGCTAGTGTATTAATCTTTTAAGTATAGTTTATTCTTACAGAAGCAACATACTTAATTAAAGTAAGCCTACCTGCTATAGAAAGCATTTTACTCTTCCAAGAAGAAAACTTCATCTAAACTTTATCTACCACATATTGATAGGTTGCTTTATTAACCCTTTTATGCAAAAAAGGAACTCCAAGATATGTCCTAAGCAAGCTAGCTACATTTGAGCCACATATCCTGCTGATTCTACGAGCCACTCTTCTCCCAAAAAGTTCTCCATTAACGATAACTCTGAAGTTAACAGAACTTATACAGCTCAAGATGAGCTGGAGTAAGCTTTCATCAATACCAATTTCAGAAAAAACATAAGCAATGAAACCCTATGATACTCTGTCATAAGCTTTAGACAAATCAATTTTCCAAGCCAAGAAGCCATTTTTTCCTTTAGCAAGCTTAAACTTATGTAGAACTTCCTGAGCTTTCACAATATTATCTGTTAGATGATGACTAGGAACAAAACTAACTTGATTTGGACTAATAATCTTTTCCATTATAGGCCGCAGTTTGCAAACCAGAAGTTTGGAAACTACTTTATACATTGTAGTACATAAACTGATGGGCCTAATTTGATTCATAAAAATTGGATTAAGGATTTTAGGTAAAAATGTGATAAACGTTTCATTCATACTAGGAGGAATTCTGTCATGCTAAAAACAATGCCGAACAGAAGCGGTGACCTCATTAGCACACTCATTCCAGCAAATGCTGAAATGAGGGCTAGAAACCCATCAATACTAGGAGCTTTAGGGGGGCCAATAGCAAACAAACAATCCTTGATTGCAGAATTATCAACTTGAGCATTAAGATCTCTAACTTCATCCTCCAACAAAGGAGGGAAAAAATCGGGCAAATTCATGAAAGACTAATTAGAACTTCTATCAGTGAACAACTCTTTGAAATAATCAACCACCACAACTTTCAAATCCTACTGCCCTTCCTTCCAAACACCAGAGCCATTTTAAGTCTTTCCAACTTGTTTTTCCTCCTTCTAATAAGAATAGACAAATGGAAAAATTTGATGTTCTTGTCGCCGTCTTTAAGCCAAGAAACTCTAGATTTTTGTTTTCAAAAACAAGCTTCCTGATTTAAGATAAAATAATAATCTTGGAGCAACTTATCTTCCAAATCAAGGAGAAATTGAGAATGCTTGACATCCAAAGCTTTTTGGATACCTTGGAGCTGAGCAAAGATTCTTTTCTGCTTATGAAAAATATTCCCAAAGATCTCCCAATTCCACTTTTCAAGAACCTCTTTAAACTCATTAAGTTTAAAAGGAATATTATGATTACTGGTAGACCAGTTAGCCTGCACATGTTGCTTAAAACTTTCAGGTTGCAGCCACATCGCCTCAAATCCAAAAGGTTTAAGAGTAGCTCTAGGAACTTTGTTTGACATTAAACTGATTAATAAAGGATTGTGATCAGAGCTAAGCTTGGGTAAATGCTTCACAAAAGCTTCAGGAAAAATAACTCTCCAAGAAGGATTGCAAATAGCCCTGTCAATAGGTTGTTTAATAAGCCCATTAGAGCACCTCTTGTTTACCCAAGTGTACTTACTGCCCATAAAACTATGGCTGGGCATGGGCCGGGCCGGGTAAAGTGATTTTGAGTTTGGGAATCGGACCTAACCCAGCTCGTTTGGTTCGAGGCGGGTCTACGGGTAGAAAAAGTAGATCCCATATCAAAAGTTGAGGGCTTTGGCGAAGAATTAGTAGAAGAACAAACATTGGGGAGGATTTGTCGGAGGGCTTGAAGCTGAAATCAGAGGCCAGGAGACCCTCAAAATCATTCATAGCGATTGGGATTTCTGGGTCACCCTTTCTCTCATTCCTACTCCTTGTGTTATTCATTTTTTGTTGTACAAAAACAAATGGAATGATCTTTAAATTCTCTCAAGGGGTAGATGTGGAATTATATGAAAAGTTAAAGAGGTGATCTTGTTGCAGAAGATGACAGGGTCTGTTGAGGATCTGAGGGAGAAAAACTTTAAGAGTGAAAGACATGAGGTGAGGGAGGAGGGTAGAATAGGTATCTGGGATTCGACGTGAGGTGAGAGAGACATGAGAGATTTGACGAAATCGAAATCGCAAAATTGAGAAGATGGATAGTGCGGGTGCCTGGATTCTGGGATGTCGTTGAGGACTCAAGGAGGACAATCGAGGTTGTTGGGCCATCGTGGTGGTCGCCAGGGCCCAGACTCGTGACGCGGTGATGTCGGGGTGGTGGATGAGATAACTGACGGAAAGTGACGGAGTATGGGTGAAACCGTGAAGGGGAGGGGACGACGCACGCAAGAAGGCAAGAAAGAATCGAGTTCAAGGACTCGAGTGACAGAGTCGAGGTCGATGACGAGGAGAACTAAGGTAAAACTAACGATCAAGATTGGATGGAGAGATGATCTCTTCAATCTCGTCCGTCCATTGCAATTACAAACGGGTCGGTCCGGAGCCTCGTTTTTCTATACATCTGGAATTGGCCTACCCTTAAAATTTCATCAACATGCCCCGTCTCGCCCCGTTTCTTTTATTAAAAAATTGGAACCGGCCCGTACTCACCCCGAACCTTGATTACCCATCTCGACCCACGGTTCCTATACCCGTTTGCCCACCCCTACATAAAACCCATATCAATCATACCAGTTTTATCAAACCAACAACAAAAATCTGTTTGGTTACAAATTGGATTCCCTTCATATCTTTCATCTACAAATAGAACACAATTGAAATCTCCAGCCACGAGCCAAGGCAGAGTAGAATTATCGTATATAAGATCTAATGTTTTCCATAAGCATTGCCTCTTAGAGATATTCGGACTACCATACGCAACTGAGAAAATCCAGGAGTCAACACCATAGCCATCAATAAACATGGAAATCACTTGACTAGTTACAAGAATAAGAGTAAGAAAAACTCTTGAGTCATTCCAAAGAACCCAAATACCACTAGAAAAACCCATAGCTTAAGAAACAACAGAATTAGAAAAATTCAATTGTCTGATTACCTCAACAACTCTGTTATAACTAATTCTAGGCTCAACCACAACTAAGACATCAACATTGTTATGCTTAACTAAATCAATTGCAGTACTGACAAAATTCTCTTTGACATCCCCTCTAACATTCCATACTAAAAAACTCATTAAAAATAATGGGAGAGAAGATCAATGACTAAATCAAAACTTAATAGTCCATCAAACATTCCTCCACAGATGAGGCAATCATCTCATCATCAATGGCAATATTGCACTTATCATCAACCTTACCTTCACCAATCCCAACAATTGATTGAGTATTATGAAGGTAATCATCAACTTACCCTTACTAACTGCCATATCTCTCTGGTCTAGGCCTACATCCTACATCCTGATCATGAATATTAGGAGGTTCATGACCAAAGATATAGGTTCCTTTAGTCATATTAGGACTGTAGTCGATATCAGTTTTGAAATGTTGAGGAGTTTTAAAATGATGCACACTTGAAAGGGAGCTACCAACTAAATTATTAAGCAGAGAAACTTTTTATTTTTTGATATGTAGTATTTCAATGCTAATTTCGAGTTATTCACTTTCGTTGTGAAATTGCTGAGGAAAATAACAAGTGTTGTATATATAGACACACATGTATAAGGTGTGTCACTTTCACTTGCATGACTCAGCATATGATGACTATGCACACATGTTGAAGGGAAATTTCCCACATTAAGTAATGCCTCTATAGATTCATTAACTGTAATCCGTATGTCAACTGAATCCCTCATTGGAGGCGTTCTCGGACAGTCTTTTTCCGAAGCCTTGTTTAGGTGGGGCTACCTGCAAAAGGTACTCCGACACTTAAGTCAGTCAATTGAATTTGTGCTTTCTAGTCAGGGGTTTCAATTACATGTGACACACCCCAACCCGAAGGGTCCACTTGGACTCCGAATCGAGTTGTGTTGGCTGACACCTAGAGGGTGATGAAGCCATAGAGTGTAGTGTAGTGGAGGAAGAATATGAATAATTTTAAACCTAAAAGTGCCTAAACAAAATAGTGCGCAGGCGAGCGGGATTGCACCCATTACACAAGTGATGGTAGAGCATAAGAACAATACAGTAAAATAGGATGAGGGTTATACCACTGAGGAAAACCATCCCCTCAGATTTGCCAGAATCCTCATTTACACATAAGCACATCTACTAAACCTGGAGGGGC